GATGCCCTGGGTGGTTGTGAGCCAACTTTTCATACCTACACCCTGTCTGAAAGAAATCTCTTGTCACTGGGCGGTGGTGGCGCACGCCTTTAGTCCCAGCACTCAGGAGGCAGAGGCAGGGGGATGTCTGTGAGTTTGAGACTAGCCTGGTCTACAAGAGCTAGTTCCAGGACAGCCTCCAAAGCCACAGAGAAACCCTGAAACCCTGTCTCAAAAAACAAAACAAACAAACAAACAAACAAACAAAAAGTCTGTCACATCTCTCCTCACAGCCCATAACAACACCACCAGATCATCCCTGATAAACATCTTCTGGCCGGCCCATCCATCCTGCACATCTCTGCCCCTTGGCCTACAAATGCTTTCACAGTGGACTCTCATTGTGAAAACAGTCCAGCCAGAATTAAGTTCTTAGACATGACCTCCAGTGCCCAATCTATCTACCATCTAACCTAGTAGCTGCAGGATCTTATGCCGGTGCCTGAACCTAAGTCCCTATTCCTTCATGTACACATACATAGATGATTTCAAGGGCAGTGAACTCACATTAGGGGTTATGAAGGACAAATGAAATGCATGCCATGAAATGCTGAGCACAGTGTCAGAGTCAAGGTGAGCACTCAGGGCCAGCTCTGCCTATGCCAAGGCTACCTGTCCCACCCTGAGCCCCCACCCCCACCCATGAATACTGCAGCTGCAATCCTGCCAGTGTACCTTCTCACTGTTCCTTCTGTGGATGCTGGTTTTATAAGTTCCCTGGGCTCCAAAGCCAATGTGCCTCCTTGCCGCACCCACAAGTCTCCCATATACACTAACCACCATACTTAAGAGTGGGAGCCTTGCCTCACTCGTACAGATAGTATCTGCATGTGTCTGGCACCCAGTAGGCACTCAGCCAATGTTTGATGGATTACAAACACAGACCCCCCAAACAGTGGAAGCAAGCACCAGACTGTGCGGACCTTGCCAAGAGTGTGTTGTGGAAACAGCAAGGGCCAGACCAATCCAAAGACCTTTGTGATAGCAGTGTTATTCATCAAACTCCGCACAAACAGGCCAGAAGAGAGGTCAGGCTTACTTGGCCAGAAAATGCCAGCTGTCTTCCAATTCTTTCCCAACCCGAACAACAGGGCACAATATAACTGCTCTTTTCAGTGAGTGTACATGTTCCTGGCTGCTGCCTCCTACGGCAAAGGCATAAGGCTCTGGGTTATATTTCCCTGGGCTCACTTCTGCCGACCCCTCCTCTTAGGCTAACCACAAAGGAGGTCAACAATCTCTAACATCGGGGCTGGAGAGATGGCTCAGAGGTTAAGAGTACCAGCTGCTCTTCCAGAGGTCCTGAGTTCAATTCCCAGCAACCACATGGTGGCTCACAACCATCCGTTATGAGATCTGGTGCCCTCTTCTGGTGTGCAGATATACATGGAAGCAGAATATTGTATACATAATAAATAAAATCTTTGGAAAAAAAATCTCTAACATCTAGAGTCTATGGTAGTGGGTCCTGACCCTCCTGGGAAATTGAACAATCCTTTCACAGGGGTCACATATCAGATATTTACATTACAATTTGTAACAATGGCAAACTTATAGTTATGAAGTAGCAACAAAAATAATTCTATGGTTGGGGGTCTCCACAACATGAGGAACTGTATTAAAGGGTCACAGCATTAGGAAGGTTGAGAACCACTGCCCTAGGGTCAGACTTTAGGTGCAGACTCCCAGGAAATCTCAATCCTGTCCTGGTCTCACTTACCTTATCCTGAAGTATCAGAGACTCTACTGAAAACTGGGATATTAGGGGGGATGAGAGGGAGAACTGAGGTTGGAATGTAAAATGAAACTTAAAAAATAAATTATAAAAAATGGGGCATTAGTGACATCATGTGTTACAGGACAATGGCTCTTCAGTGGGAAATGATGTCTCCTAGGTGATACTGAGTCATATCTGGAGACATTTTTGATTGTTACAACTCAGGGCAGAAGAAATGACCTGGTATCTGATGGGTAGAGCCCAGGGTTACTGCTAAACGTCTCTCAATGCACAGGATACCCCTACCCTAGCAAATGATTACTTGCTCCCTAAGTCTCAATAGTGCTGAGGCTAAGAACCCCTGTCTTTATACTCTAAGGGGAAAAAAAAAAATCTCAGGAGTTCAGATGCCTCTAGGTTCCCTGACATATCCAGACTGCCCTCACCGGTCCTGCCCTTTGTAGTCTCCGCATGGGAAGCTCGGCTTTCAAGTTCTTGCCCAGGTAAACATACAAACCTTCCAATGCCTGTGGACAGGATGGCAGTGGAAGTCTTCAGTTCCTCATATAGGTCTGCTCCGTTTAATGGGAAAGCCGAGAACTGCGCCAGCAATACCCTCCTCAGGGCAACCAGGGCCTGCCAAAAGTACGGACACACAGTCTCCAGAGCACCCAGACTGCCAGTGACCAGCTTGTCCCGCAGAGCAATCTAGGTCTAGTGCCCCTTAGCAACTTCCGGGAACTCTGATTCTGCAGCATGGGGACCCGCTCTAGAAGAGACATTGGGATGGAGTTTGCACATGGTAAGCTCACCTTGTAGGACAAGCCACACTTCTGGGCTACCTCCTCCAGGTTAGCAGCTGCCAGGTCCGCCACTGGAAAGAGACCAAGAGCAACCTATTAACAACAGGAATGCTTTAGTTTTGCCACGCTTGCCTTTTCCTCTGTTGGGAAATGGCGTTAAGGTCTTAGTCTACTCCCCATCTCAAGCACGCAGGCCCTGATGCAGGACCCGGAGAGGAGCCCAGCACACAGTCGAGTCCTCTGTCTCCGTCTTGACTCCTGAGAACCCCATACTGAGGTCAAATTGTGGCCTCCGGTTAGATTGAAACGCCCCGCACGTGTGCCAACACCATGGCGCCGACCCCCGCGGTCGTGCCCATGTTATGTGTCACGAGCCCAGGAGGTCACCTGTCTTGATCCTTTGGCCCTTCAGAAGCTGGACGATCTCTTCGGTGAGGCCCGGGCACAGCCCCACCCTGAGCACGCCCATGTTTCCTGCAAACCCTGGGCGCCCCCCCCGCCCCCCCCCCCGCCGAGACCCCCCACTAGGTCCCACTTCTGGAAAGAGTCTCGGCACGCCAGCGCGGGAAGGGGGCGGGAAGAGGATGCAGATCGGGGTGAGGGACACCAGCCCTTCCAAACTCCAGAGCCCTGGACCCGCCCCCTCCCGGCGGACGCTTCCGGGTTCCGCAACTGGAGCGGCTTTTGTGGCCCAGGCCTGTAGCGCCATCTGCTGACCAAGCGGGCAAACGCGGCGGCCTTCAGGCTAGGGCCAACCACCTGCCAGTCTCAGCTACTCCCTCCCTCCCTCCCCCTCTTTCTGCCTCTCTCCTCTCTTTCTCTTTCCTCTCTTCTCTCTCCCTCTCTCTTCTCTGTCCTCTCTCTCCCTCTCCTCCCTCTCTCTATCTCCTCTCTCCTCCTCTCTCCCTCTCCTCTCCCCCTGCCCCCCCCCCCCCCCCCCCCCCCCTTGTGTACTAGCCTCCATTCCCAACGCTAGGGACATTCACACCCTACTTACTGAGTGAAGCATACCCGCCTTCTAGTAGCATTCACGTTAGGGAAACAGACAATAAGGAGCAATCAGTTCACACCATTACAGATTGTATGATCCAGTGAAGTTCACACCTGCACCCCTGTATTTTCCAAAAAAAAAAAAAGTGTTTTAAGTTTTATCTTATGCATATAAATGTTTTGCCTGCATGGATGTCTGTGCACCCCTTACGTGACTGGTGCCTGAGGAGGCCAAAGAGGGGGGTCAGATTCCCTTGGACTTGTTACAGATGGGGGCTAGAGAAGTGGCTTAGCAGTTAGGAGCACTGGTTGTTCTAGAGGACCAGCGTTCATAACTCAGCATCTACTTCTCTAGCCCCATATTTTCTGAAGGTTTTTCTTTTCTGAGACATGATTTCTCTGTGCGTCTCTAGCTGTCTTGCTACTTACTGTATAGACCAGGCTGGCCACCTCCTGAGTGTTTTGAATGAGGATGTACACCATCACCACCAGGCATTTTCCAAAGATTTTAGTGGGAGTCAATGCTTGAGTATTTAGAACATGTGAAACACAGTTTACTATTTTGAAATGTTCTTTACCACATCCAGTGGGAGAAATAAAGCAGTGTCACAAACCTTTGAGTGAGGTTCTGTTTCTCTCTGTATTTTGTAGTTGAGTTGTGACTCAGGAAGACATTTATTCTCCGAGTTACGCAGCTAGCAAGCACAGAATTGAATCTCAAGCCCACATCCAACTGCAAAGCCAGTGTTTCTGAACTTGTTTTCTCCCCTCCCCGGAAGATGTGGGTTCGCTTTCTACCTTGTGCTCTCTCCATAGCAGAGAAGTCTGGCCCATTTTTAGAAATATTTCCCCATGTTCACCATTGTCTCTCCATTGTTCAGGGTATTTGGAATTCTAGCATTAAAGCCATCTTCTCTGGGAGCTACAACCTACAGAAAGCTTTCACTGTGCCTGTGCTACTGGCCACAGTGGGATTTCCTGCTTAGATGTCAGGACAGAAAGCCTTAGCATCAGTAGGCAAAGTCATCCTCTTTAATGACTCTATGACTCAGCCCAGGTGGTGTTTCTCTGTCACTAGCCTGCTCCTCCTTCCAGGACAGCTCTAAAGTACACAGGTTGTTAAGCCTTTTGAAGTCCTCAGATGACAGAGCAGCTGTGGCCACAAATGTGGCCTAGAAGGGGCCATGTGTGCTGGAAGGGGCCAGGAAGTTTGTTTTCTTGGCTCTACCCCACCGTTCACACAGTCTTTTGGTTTCTCCAGCTGCACAGAAAACCTCACATCAAGGGGAGGCTGGCCCCTAATTGTTACACTCTAGGACGATTGTGAAGTCAGCTCATTAGACACCCATCCCACCCAAACTAAGGGCGGGACCTTTGCCTCAGTTTTTCTCTGCTTCCTGCCAGTTGGTTGTCCTGCACAGTGGTGACGGCTCTGATCCCACCCCCACCAGATGGCAACAGAGGTGTTCTGTAAAGTGGGGGATGGGGAGGAGGCTGTACCGAAGAAGAAGGAAACCCTCAGCATTATAAATGTGGTTGACCAACTGCCGAAGCCCTGTCCAAACCCCAAGTTTTTGAACCGGCCCATGGCTACCAAAGGCCTCCCGCTTTCCTCAAGACGCAGCTTGGTCAACTACTTAGAGGAAGACACCACCAATGTCATGTAAGATACAATTCTGGGCCCTTCTTTCAAAGGCTGGGAAAGCTTTGCAGCCCACCCTGGGGTCCCTCAGGGAAGAACAAGATAGCAGGTTCCCCATGCATCCCCTGTGCCCCACGTCAGTTGTGAATGCCTGCAGGTTGCCACCTCTAGGAGACCTTTCTGGATTGGTTAGCTAGGTGGTCGCTACCAGCACTCTGCCCCATCCGGGCTTCTCCCTTTCATTTCTCCCACTGGATTGTCCTTGCCCTGGTCCACTGGCCCTCTTAGTAAATGTGGGTTTCCTCTACTTTATGCCACTAAATTCTTTTCCTCTCGGTGAGAAATATAACCCGGTGTTAAGTTGGGAATGCAAAGCTGGGAAGCATAGCCCCTGCCTTCAAAGAACATCAGGCCTTGTGTGAGTGGTGTTGGTGTTATACATACATGTAGTTAAAACATGGACACACATAAGTTAAAAGCAACAAATATTCATGTCACAAGACACATGAGATGGACAAAATGGCCGAAGCCTCTGCTACATGTATCAGCACAGACAAATCAAAACACAACACAGAGCAAAACCCAAGTTTTGGATAGGTATGTGCCGGACGATGCCTCTTATTTATATAGAGTCTAAAGACATGCAAAGTAATAGGTCTTGCCTTGGGTTAATGTACATATGCAACAAGCCTAAGATGACACATAGTGAATAACAAACAAAAACTTCCTTTGCCAACTGGAGGATATGTAGTGTGAGAGAAGCATCCAGGGGTCTTGGTAATGCTAATGTGTCTTAATTTCTGAAGTTGGATGAGAGCAAATAAAAGTGTGTATTTAAAATACCCCCTAATTTAAAAAAAAAACATAAGAATGGGGGATGTCGTCGGGCGTTGGTGGCTCATGCCTTTAATCCCAGCACTCGGGAGGCAGAGGCAGGCAGATCTCTGTGAGTTCGAGGCCAGCCTGGTCTCCAGAGTGAGTGCCAGGATAGGCTCCAAAATTACACAGAGAAACCCTGTCTTGAAAAAAACCAAAAAAAAAAAACCAAAAAAAAAAAAAAAAAAAAAAAAAAAAAAAAAAAAAAAAAGAATGGGGGGATGTCTTAGTTACTATTCTGTTGCTGTGAGGAGACACCATGACCAAGGCAGCTTACAGAAGAAAGCATTTAACTGTGGGCTCGCTTACAGGTAGAGAGGGCTAGTCCAGTGTCATCAGGGCAGGAAGCATAGTGGCAGGCAGGCAGGTGTGGTGCTGGAGCACTAGCTGAGAGCTTACTTACATCTGATCCCCAAATTTCGGGGGGACAGATTGGGGGGTGGTGCTCTGTCTTTTTTTTTTAAGATTTATTTATTTTTATTTTTATGTTCATTGTTGTTTTGCCTACATGTATGTCTGTGAAGGTGTCAGATTCCCCTGGAATTGAAGCTACAGACAGTTGTAAGCTGCCATGTAGGTGCTGGGACTTGAATCCAGGTCCTCTAAAAGAGCATCCTGTACTCTTAAGCACTGAGTCCTATCTCCAGTCCTGGTGCCAGCTTTTGGACTATCAAATCCCACCTACAGTGATACACTTCCTTCAACAAGGCCACACCTCCTACCCCTTCCATGTCAGTTCCTCTAATTGGGGACTAAGCTTTCAAACATCTGAGCCTGGGGGGGGGGGGGCATTCTCATTCAAAACACCACAGGGAACAAGGATTTTTTGTTTTGTTGTGTTCACATTTTCTTTTTCTTTCTTTTTTTTTTTTTTTTTGAGTCAAGGGTCTCACCATATAGGCCAGACTGGCTTAGGACTTTCCATCTTCCCACCTCAGTCTCCTGAGTACTAGAACAAGAACATTCCTCTAATATACATATTGCACATAATATAGACTATTGGTTTTACATGTAGTATGTTCCAAGCTGCTCCACAGTTGGGGATGCTGGTAGAGTGAGCCCCCCAGGTCATGCGTTCAGGGTTCCTCAGGCTAGATGGATTGGGGTGGGGTGGCCTCCCTCATCTGACATCCATGTCTTTCCCACTCCAGGAAGCAGATGCCGGAAGATTCAGAATACAGCTCCGATGACACTAGTATGTCCCCCATATCATCCACTCTGTTGAACCCCATCAAACTGGCCATGACTCAGCCCAACAGCAGCTTCTTTGCAGGGATGCTGGAGGGTGAGCTGAACAAACTCAGTTTATCGTCAATGGCCAAGAACACAGAAAAGGAAAAATTGGCCATTTGCCCCCTCTCATCTAATGGCCAGGTGGCCCCCAGGGGCCTGTTGGACCTTGACAACCCTGCAGTGGACACGGATACCTCCTCAACACGCTCCGAGTCTTCTGTGGTCATGGATGTGCCAGAGGCCCCCTTCATCTGTGAACACACTGTTGGCGATTCCACAGCTGTGGTATGGTTTTCTCTTGGTGAAGGCTTACAGTGTGGGGGCTGTGGGGAGTGTGAAGGCCTCAGCACTGCATTTGGATCTCAAGTTCATGGTTATGGAAGGAAGAAGGGCAGGGGTGTCTATGGAGCTTTAGTGCAAGATGAAATGGGCTCACTGCTTCCCTGTTCAATGCGGAGGAGATTCAGATAGTTTCACAGGAATTCTGAGAAAGGTTGCTTCCAGTTGAGTAATGGCTGGAACTGGGAAATGTAGAAGTGAGGAGCAGCCTCAATGTGTCATTGCTTCTAACCAAGTGCTACTGACAGTCATGCTCCTCTAGGCCATTTTGTTAATATTTAGACTACTAGGCTCCATCCCTAGAGGGTTTGAAGGAGGCCTGATAATGCACACTGTTTAAATAGTTCCAGGCAATGGAAACAATATGGTTAAGTCCCTGATGTTGAGCCAGACTTCTAGTCTGTCATTTAGCTGCTGTGTGACACTCTCTGCAGGTGGAAAAGATGGTTTCCATAGGTAGCTTTCAGCTGACCTGACCGTTTAGGTCTACGGAGTGAGGAGCACCCTGTGGTGGAGCAGTGGGTAGAGCTCCTCCCTTCCCCAGGGAGGCATGTGTACTTTCCTCTAGACCTGGAACAGGAATGGAAGTGCCACTGTGACCTATCCCAAGGGTCAGGATAGACCTGAGGAAACCTGGGCTCTCTTTTCCCCTAGATTTCCTGGACTTATGCTGTGGGCAAGCAGCAAGTCAGTTTCTACCAGGTCCTACTGCAGGAGGCAACCAAGCAGGGTGACAAGGATATGCCCAGGGTCAAGAACCGCCCCTGGATCTTCAACAAGATCCTGGGCACCACTGTCAAGCTGATGGAGCTGAAGCCAAACACAAGTTACTGCCTTACTGTCCGTGCAGCCAACACAGCGGGGGTGGGGAAGTGGTGCAAGCCCTATAAAGTAAGTCCTAGTAGCAGAAAGGCCCAGGGCTGGGGAGGGAGGTCCGATCCAGAGAACTAAGGCATCAAAGGACAGAACCATTGGCTCAGATAGGTGAGAAACTACAAGTGGACAAGTAGAAGACCAAACAGGAGGCTGGAACATGCCCCCAGTGTCATGTTGTCCTTGCTTGCTTATGCCTGGACCCAGAAGCATTAATCCCAGACCTCTATCTTCTGGGAGGTTTAGGGGTTAAGCTGTTCAGGGCCCATTAGAAATGCAAACTGATAATTGTAGCACTATTGCCACGGTGTTCATTTTCCAAAGCTAAGAATTCTCATATACCTCAATTTCAGTAATTGTGAACAGACTAGAAATTGAGGAGAAAAAGAGACCAAAAGGAACAGCTTGCAGGTGTCAGGGGCCTAGGGTAGAGGACCCCACAATATCTATGTTGCATGAGGCTAAGGTCTCACTTAGCAGCAAGAGGGTGATGGAGATGAGTGAAGAGCCACTCTCTGGCCTGGAAGGGCATCCTGAGGGTGATTGTTTTATTTCAGTTTGCAACTGTACCTACTGACTTCAACAGCTTTCCTGAGAACAATCCCATCCAGGTCACTGTGCAGCGTAAACAACCCCAGAGGAGAACCGTGTCCATGGCAATGGAGGAGATGCGGAGGCTGGAGGATCTGGAATACCTATATCCATATTAGGAGGCGTGGGTCAAGGTTATCCCTTGCCCACAAATCCTCAGGAACCAGAATTGTGAGATGTACTGTACCACCAAGCACCAAGCCAAAGAACAGCTAGTTACCCTGTTAGCCAACGGCCTGGGGCAGATGTACTGGAACCTCACCCTTGGATCTGGGTCAAGGATAGACATGAGCCCCATCCACCTAGAGACCTTAGGTTGGGTCAGGATCAGCCATTGCCCAACAGCTGGTAGGCGCCCTCCTTTCTCCTGGACCTGGGCTGGTTTCGGGTCCCTCATTAAAGAACTGAAGGCCCATCTAATACCCTGAAAGTCTGCTTCCTGTTGCCATAAACCTGAGCTGAGCCAGAGCACTAGCCTCTTGTCAGAACCAACAGTCTAGCATGAGAATAAGCACAGGCTGACACTCAAGACTAAGAGCCCAGCTTTGGGGGAATATGATGATTAAACCCTAGCTCTTCCCCCTTGTGAGGTACAAACAGGTCATTGTCTCCTGAGGCCATTCAGGCACAGGCTCAGGGTCATTGTGACACAGAAGTGCCTGACACCAAGCAGATGGTGGTTCCCTGTGCCTCTCCTGCAGTCCTTTTTTTTTTTTTCTTTAAAAAAATAATTATTATGTATACAGTATTCTGCCTGCATATATGCTTACATGCCAGAAGAGGACACCAAATCTCATTTCAGATGGTTGTGGGTCACTAAGTGGTTGCTGGAATTGAACTCAGGACCTCTGGAAGAGCAGCCAGTGCTCTTAACTGCTAAGCCATCTCTCCGGCTCCCTACAGTCCTATTCTTATGTGTGAGGGGAGGCTGACCACCACAGCTGGGTGATGTGCTGAACAGTTAAAAGCCCCAAATGGAGGTGGGAAGCATTCCATCCAGTGTCGGGCAGACCCAGAAATTCCTCCACAGATGACTGGAGACCATGAACAGACAGCGCTGAGCCCCAGCTAACTATTTACAGCAAAGAGAAAATGAAGGCAGGGCAAAGGTCTCAGCCAAGGCCTGAAGTACTGGGATACCCTTCATTCCTTCAAGGTCCTCAAAAGGCCCAGATCCTCATCACACCATGCCTATATCAGCTAGTGTCCCACGCCACTCACCCCCCAGGTGAGTCCTCTGAGATGGCCCTGGCCTTCCTCTCTGGCCCGAGGGCCTAGCACAGTGCTAGGTATGTGGCAGGGCCTCAGGCAGAATGCCAGGAGAGGCGGTGGCAAGACTCTGTTTTCTAATGCCAGAGCCCTTGTGAGCAGGCCAAGAAAAGTCTCTAGATGTGAGTAATTCTAGTTGGTGCAAACGGGCCCATGGCCAGCATGACCACAGACAGCATAGCCTTAGCCTTTCCTATGGCCACTGGCACACTGCCCTCTGCTTACAGTGAAGCAGCAGGAAGGGTAGCTAGGGTGCATGGGCTGCTGTCATACAGTGCAAGGGAAGGGCCAGATGGACCTTCTCAGAGTCCTCAACTGATCGTGGGGGTTCTAGGACAAGAAGTTGCAACATGAATGCAAAATAGTTATTTATTTGGCCACGTGGCGAGGCTGAGAGTGTAGGCCCGCACAGCTGACACATGGAAAATGGACATGGGGACCAGAGGCCTGGCTTTCCCACTGCTGTCAGTACAGTCAGAAGTGCCCATGGCTTAACTCCATGTTGTAACTTCCTATGACAGTCACATGTAGACCGCCTGTCCTGGGCAGATGGCCACCTGTATTCTTTGTTCTCTGGCGGGGCAGGCAGAGGCTGAGTCCAGGTAAGGTCAGGAAGCTGTGGAATTCTTCACCTTCTCCATCTGTGGGGGAGTCATGGGACGGATTCATGTTGCCTACAGCCCTGTCAAGAGCCTGGCATCCGCTGTAGCTCTGTGACTCAGCTACACTCAGACTCTGTGACCCACAACTGTCCCGTCCCCCCCCCAGTACCTCTCTCCTTCCCTCAATCCTGCCCTGAGATCCTGCAGTGCCCATCACCAAGCATCAAATTGCTGTCACAAGCAGAGTGACAGTGTCAGTGTCCTCTTCTGTGACCCTCCTGTCTAGACAGGTGTTGGGCCTGCATACTGGCAACTAGGACCCGAACTCATGGCCCACAAGTACAGAGCCTGATACCCTAACATTGAACTACTGCTTGCTGCACTGTGGAGACCTGCAGGTTCCCTCAGGATCTCCCATAACCCCTAGCTCTACCTCCCCTGGAGAATCCAGCTCCCACATCCTTCCTCCAGAGCACAAAAATATGCCCCCCACCCTCCAATTCCATGCCACGGCAAAGAACAGAGGCCAGGAGAACCGAGCACCCCAGTCTTTTACCACACCCCCACTCACATCCGGAGACACTTGTCTTTCCCACCACTTGCTACTCTCTGGCCATCTGGACTCCAGTCAACAGCATATACCTAAATGGAAGAGGTTGGGCAGTGGAGTAGTAAGGGCAAGAGTCAGAGCGAGGGCTAATCCCAGCCCCCATGGGGTCAACCTCACCTCATCAGCATGGCCAGGCAGGTCTGTGGCCAGTTTCTGGGCCTTCACATCCCACACCTTCAGTGTGCTGTCGCTGCTGCCACTGACTAGCAGCCGGCTGTCAGCCGACCAGGCAATCTGGTACACAGCAGCCACGTGTCCACGAAGGGAAGCCAAGTATCTGAGGCAGGGGAAGCCGGTGACAGATATTAGATCTTCAACATGTCCTCTACACTCACAACAGTGGCTCTCCACCTTGGCTAACTGCTGGCATTGCCTGGGCTCATGCTAGATCATTTTAATCATCACTGGCCATTACTACTGTGTAAAACTTCTCCAGTTGAGTTGCTCTGAGGCTGCTTCCTGCTAAGCCTCCAGACTGGTACAATTCTGCACGTCTAAAAACCAAATGTGCCACCTGCTTAGCCCATCTGCCCAGTGTCCTCCAACACAACAGGTGCCAGCTGACAGGTGGCATGGAGAAACAGTGGGCCAGGCCCAGCTGGAGCTTTCAAGTTAATAGTGTCTAGCTGTGATGTCTGGATAAGCCATTAGGCCTGGGACTCAGTTTCCTGGCTTTTTTTCCTTTTGATTTTTCAAGACAGGATTTCTCTGTGTAGCTCTGGCTGGCCTGGAACTCACTCTGTAGACCAGGCTATCCTCAAACTCACAGAGATACACCTGCCTCTGCCTCCTGAGTGCTGGGATTAAAGAAAGGTATTTCCTGGCTTCCTAAAGGAACTGAATTATCATTTCAAAGAACTACATGAAAATACAGAGTGGCAGACATTCCTTCTCTGCTCTCATTCACACGCCTCTTTTCCAATCCAATAATGGCTGGTGCACCACGCCCCCTCACAACAGGGCCTCTCAGACTTTAGCTGACAGCACAAATCACCAGGTGATCTTACAAAATGCAGATTCTGATTCACAAGATCTAGAGTCCACATTTGCATTTTTAAAGATTATTTTATTTGTAAGAGTACTCTAGCTGCATGTGCCAGAAGAGGGCATCAGATCCCCCTTAGATGGTTGTGAGCCAGCATGTTGTTGCTGGGAATTGAACTCAGGACCTCTGGAAGAGCAGCCAGTGCTCTTAACCTCTGAGCCATCTTTCCAGCCCCCTCCACATTTACATTTTTAACCTTTAAAAGAGATGGCATTTTTATTTCTAAATAAATACATGACTGCAGGTGCCTGTGGAGGTCAGAGGCCTCCTGGATCCTCCGGGAGTTGGATACAGGTGGCTGTGAGCTACCCGAAGTGGGTGCTGGGGATTGAACTTGGGTCCTCTGCAAGAGCAGTACATGCTCTTAGCTGCTGAGTCATCTTTCTTGACCCCTACATTTTGCAATTCTGTCAAGAAATGCTGGTGCCACTGGTGTGTGGGCAACACAAGAGGAACAACACAGTCCTAACTACTGTTAACCTTCTCCAAGGCTGCTGCTGTATCCCTGGCCCTGTGGCTAGCCCTAACATTTAGTGCTGGCCCTAAAGACGCCACCTTACTAATGCAAGTAAAGTGTATGTGTCAGAGAGAAGCGTGGCCTGAGGAAATCAGACTCCACCAGTGCCACACAAGTAGTAAGCAGTTACACCAAGCTCATGCCATACCACACTGCTAACAGGGACAGGCCCCATCCCTGCACTCACTTGCCTGTCCTGCCATCCCACAGCTTGATGGATTTGTCAAAGGAGGCACTGGCCACGATTCGGGAGTCAGGAGAGAAGAGCACCTGGTTGATCAGGGCCTGGTGTCCTGTCATCCGTGCAAGGGGCTTCTTGTCCTCTGCTGGGGACCACAGGAATAAGGTGAAGTCGTCTGAGCCAGATACCAGCCTCTCTGGGCCTTGGCCCTGGGCAAGAAAGCACATTGTGTTGGATGTGGTCTGATACTGGCTATTCACACAGCGACAGAGGCCAGAACCAGGGAAATAAGGCCTGGAAGGGACACAAACTCACACAAAACTCCAGGTTAGCCCATAAGGAGGAGGAATCCCATACATGTGTGAAGGAGTCCTAAGATACAAGCCAACATACAGAATGGTGCTAAAAGGAGATGGCTTTCTTTCTTTCTCTCTCTCTCTCTCTCTCTCTCTCTCTCTCTCTCTCTCTCTCTCTCTCTCTCTCCTCCTCCTCCTCCTCCTCTTCCTCCCCTCCCTCCCTCTCTGTGTCTCTGTATACTGAATGCATGAACTCCATACTGGTAACACTGGGTGCTTCCAGAAGGGATGCATGATTGTGTGAAAGACAGGAGACGTTTCATTATCTTTTTGTTATCTATTGAACCTTAGACCATGTAAATGTGGTTCCTTAAACAACAAAGGAAATAAGAGACATAGTAGTAAATAAGATAATAAAGGTTAAATGATGCCCAGTCTTTTAAGATTTGAAGATTATAAAGAATGATGACCGATGCCGGACGTTGGTGGTGCACGCCTTTAATCCCAGCACTCGGGAGGCAGAGGCAGGTGGATCTCTGAGTTCAAGGCCAGCCTAGTCTACAGAGTGAATTCCAGGAAAGCCAGGGCTGTACAGAGAA